TTTATCGATTTTGAAGAAGAGAGGTTTTTGTTGCAACTTTCGGTGACTTTTGATATGAACATGTTGGTTATGCAATTACATATAACTAACAGCCTGACCTTTTTATATTAGGTTAGGTTAGGTGACCTGAGAATTACTCTATGTAAGATTCGCCATCTATTGGGCTCGTTAGGGAATTACATACAGTCAACACAACGTGACCTATAACCTTAGTCGAGTGAGTGACTGAACGTAGCTTTAGGAAGCTTGGTGACTATATTAAAAATAGAATCCTATTAACACTTTACCGAGGATTTAAAAGGTATCACTTTTAAATTTAATAAAAGACGAAAACATTAATGAACATTAAAAATAATAATAGTATAATTAAACACAAAGTCCTATGAATCCAATAACGCAATAAACTCTCCCCGCAACGGTCGGACGAAGACGGGATTGTTACAATATGGTCGAATGCAGTGTCTAATTAAGAATTAGAAAACATATTACGATTATTATATTTTAGCTTCGATGCAAAGCGAGAAGGTATTGGTTTTACTCTGATGTATGTTTTTTTTTTATCTGTATACACTGTAACTTCTTTAATACTGGACCAATTCCTTCGAATAGCAACTCTATAAATCGCAATTTTCATCTAGTTGGTACTTTGGGGGGGTAAAAGTTGAAAAAGTTTAAGTCTTCACAGACGAAAGTTGAAAAAAACAAAAAAAAAACCGTACGAGTTTTTAAGTTAGAACTTTTACTGGCTATAGCTTCGAGAAAAACAGTCGGATCGAGTTGAAATTTATAAGAAATATTTATTTAGTATGCCCGCGCACGTCAGTTATATCAAATTTGAATTTAACCCAATGCCCACCCCCCTAGGGGGGTACAGGTTTTTTTGTTTTTCGCGGTTTTTAGCCGTAATTTTAAGTCCTTTAGGTTGAAAATTTGCCAGTAGTTGGAACTCATATGTATCCATAACATATTAAACGGAAAAATAATTCGGCACTACAGTTTTTTTTTAATAGCCGGAAAACTGTGTTTTCGCAGATTGCGTATATTTTAACAAAAAACACTTAAAATCTTAAAAAAATTGTTATCAAATCATTAAAACAATTTTATGTAGATCTATGCAGAATGATACTATTGAGTTTTGTGCTCAAGTAACACTTTTGACTTTAAGTTGACACAAAGTTCAATTTTTTTTTTTTTTTACTTAAGTTCTTTCTGGCTGATTAAAATTGAGAACTGATAACAAATTCGTAATCACCGACCCCAAAAACATATAATTTGACCCCTTTTAATGCCTTTTTCACAAAAATCCAGAAAAATGTTTTAGCTTCGATGCAAAGCGAGAAGGTATTGGTTTTACTCTGATGTATGTTTTTTTTTTATCTGTATACACTGTAACTTCTTTAATACTGGACCAATTCCTTCGAATAGCAACTCTATAAATCGCAATTTTCATCTAGTTGGTACTTTGGGGGGGTAAAAGTTGAAAAAGTTTAAGTCTTCACAGACGAAAGTTGAAAAAACAAAAAAAAAAACCGTACGAGTTTTTAAGTTAGAACTTTTACTGGCTATAGCTTCGAGAAAAACAGTCGGATCGAGTTGAAATTTATAAGAAATATTTATTTATTATGCCCGCGCACGTCAGTTATATCAAATTTGAATTTAACCCAATGCCCACCCCCCTAGGGGGGGTACAGGTTTTTTTGTTTTTCGCGGTTTTTAGCCGTAATTTTAAGTCCTTTGGGTTGAAAATTTGCCAGTAGTTGGAACTCATATGTATCCATAACATATTAAACGGAAAAATAATTCGGCACTACAGTTTTTTTTTAATAGCCGGAAAACTGTGTTTTCGCAGATTGCGTATATTTTAACAAAAAACACTTAAAATCTTAAAAAAATTGTTATCAAATCATTAAAACAATTTTATGTAGATCTATGCAGAATGATACTATTGAGTTTTGTGCTCAAGTAACACTTTTGACTTTAAGTTGACACAAAGTTCAATTTTTTTTTTTTTTTACTTAAGTTCTTTCTGGCTGATTAAAATTGAGAACTGATAACAAATTCGTAATCACCGACCCCAAAAACATATAATTTTTTTTTTTTTTTTAAGTACAAACGCACTCTACCAGATGTGAGAAACGAAAAAAAAAAAGTATAATTTTTTGTTCTATTGGCATCATCGTGTGTACGAACGGCATATTGATGCGCGCTCTTATCTGCTCCGTAATGAATTATGAAATCAGTTATGATAGAAAAAATTGTATGTCGTTTGAAATAGTATTTTTAAATCTCTACAAAAACGCTAGTTTTTATTCTGGTTGTAACTTGTATTGCGCTGTATAAAACTTTTATGACGTAGTTGATGTTATTTTATCAATTTTCATTATTTAATAAAAAACAATTTGTCAACAGAATATAACTAACTGGGTGTGGATTTTATTAAGTCACAGTTGATATAAAATCAATTTGGACTTGAACTTTTTGCGGAATGACTGAATTTAATTTAAGTAACTAATTTAATTTTAATTGGCAGCCATTACGTGAGAAATGATAACATGAGTTGTTTAAACTATAGTGTATAGTTGTTGTAATTATCAATTTTCGAGACAAAATAATATTCGATCGTGACCATATAAACGCCCGATCGCGTTATCAACTGTCCACCGTCTTATGTACACGATACAGGTGGGAACGAAAAACCCCTTATCGGCCCGAGCCGGTCATGGAGTGTGAGAGAGAGGTCGGGGGGTGATGACATTTGTAGGTAGTTGCCAGTCAGTATTCGATAATTCGATTATCAGTTATTGATTTAAAATTGATCCGGAGTGTCAATCCGCTGTCGTTCCGAGTATTATTATTTTTATTTACATATTGTAAAAAAAAAGTGAACTCTTCCTTTCATTTTCCTGGTATTCTTCTTTTAAAAATCGGGTTTCCTCTGACCTAATCTCACAAGTGCACATTCAAGTGCATAAAACAATTATTATTAGTAAAAATTGCTTGCCTATACATTTTCAGTACATCTTTTCTTGAAATTATTGAAATTTAATATCTGTCCAGGTCGGCGTTCCTCAGATAGCCAACAAAAAAATTGCTCTCACCTCTCCCTTTTGTAACTAAAAAGTATAAATAATAATTTATAACCAATAATGATTATCTTGACTTGCCCAGAAAAATCACTATTTCATTTTCCTTCTTCCACCTTGGTCACAATAAATATTATCTTCTTTTCTACTTTTATTTCTATTAAACCTATTTCAAACTTCTCACGAAAAAAACCTGAATATTCATAAATTTGTTGTAAATTAATTAAAAAAAAAAAAAACCAGTACAGTGGGGTCGGGGCATAGTGGGGACGGAGCATAGTGGGGACGGGGAGGTCACAGGTTTATAGGAATTTTTAAATCTGAAAGTGATAAAATCACTTTCGAAAAAACGCTTCGATGCAAATCGGTAGTTAGTATTTTCAAGGCAGTACAATCTAAACCAAGCACAGTGTAAGCTAGGAAAGTTAGAAAGTAATAAATTGAATCGGCCATTTCAAAAACGACTTAGGTCACCGATTTTTCAAAACTGTCTTTTTATCAAATGTAATAATTATATACTTAGCTACGTATTCTGTGTGAAAACTCAATTTGTCAGACTCATATTTAATACAAATGTTGAGTACAAGAAATTTGAATCACTGCAAAATATATTTATGAAGTTTCTTGTGGCTAGTGTAATATTTCAAATTTGTGACTTGTGTCGTTTTTTAAATGACTGATAAAATTACAAAATAGAAGCATCAAAGCGTTTATTTGAAAGCGATTTTATTCAATTTTATCACTTTTATTTATAATAATTCTTGTAGACCTGTGACCTCTCCGTTTCCTCATTGCTTTGATTACATTATGCCAATACTCTACTATACTAGTCCTCTCGGATAAAATCACTTTCAAATTAACGCTTTGATGCTTCTATTTTGTAATTTTATCAGTCATTTAAAAAACGACACAAGTCACAAATTTGAAATATTACACTAGCCACAAGAAACTTCATAAATATATTTTGCAGTGATTCAAATTTCTTGTACTCAACATTTGTATTAAATATGAGTCTGACAAATTGAGTTTTCACACAGATTACGTAGCTAAGTATATAATTATTACATTTGATAAAAAGACAGTTTTGAAAAATCGGTGACCTAAGTCGTTTTTGAAATGGCCGATTCAATTTATTACTTTCTAACTTTCCTAGCTTACACTGTGCTTGGTTTAGATTGTACTGCCTTGAAAATACTAACTACCGATTTGCATCGAAGCGTTTTTTCGAAAGTGATTTTATCACTTTCAGATTTAAAAATTCCTATAAACCTGTGACCTCCCCGTCCCCACTATGCTCCGTCCCCACTATGCCCCGACCCCACTGTACTGGTTTTTTAATATGATAACTGGTAATCATTACTGGCTAATCTTTTTGCCACTGTCCATACGATTTAAATGATATATAAACTTATTGTATATGTGTCAGTGAACTAGTGTATTTAATATTTTATCACCTCATGTCATCTTTTAACACTAAACATGCTTTTTGGTGTTAGGAACATATTCGCTACCTAATTTTGCCAACAAAATTGGACATGTGCCGTTTTTGAACACAGCGATACAAGTATACAACTAGTGTACTGTTTTATATTATATTATTTTATTTATACTGAATGTGTCCGTGAGCCATGCCTCGCGGACACATTCAATATAACGTTCAGTTTAACCGCGAAGAAAGTCTTAATATATTTTTTTTCCAGTTTGTTTTTATTTAAGTCAGTCGGTTATATCTGAGCAGGAAAAAAGTAAGCCAGGACCTAGGAACAACTAATCCAAGAAAAGAAAGACGACCACATTGACGCCCCAGACAGACATAGATGGATTAAGTGCGGAATAACCTAAATCTTACCTGGAATAAATAAGTATCTGTCTAAATCTACGCATAAGCAACAAATGGGATTATAATTGTGAGTAAAACTATTTATTGTAAAAATATTAGAATCAATTGACAGCTAATAGTGTAATAAGAAAATATTATTACAAGAAAATAATAATAGCGCTTTATAATTTTAGAAGAGTTTTGCTATTGATTCCGTGTTTAAATTAACTGCTCCTCAAGTAGTTGGACTTATTTGCCACACTACGCCATTAATTTTTTTGTATTTTTTTTGTGTAATTCCATCGTATAGAGTACAAGTATCATTAATAGGGTCAATCATGAGCTTTTTTATGAATGATGTTGGAATCTGTGTACTTATGTATAATCCTATCAAACGACACATCCGCAACAAAGACACGTCAAGTAAATCTAAAAAATAAAAATACATTTTTTATTTGCTTAAATTAGTTTACTAGTGACTACTCTGCAACATTGTAGTATAAATTAAATGAACCAAATTTTAATACTAAAATAAGCTTTTAAAAGCTATAGAAAAATTCGTAATTACTTTGGTATTTTGCAACTTCAGAAGTATCAGTTTCTGTAACAATTACATCAAATAATTTTGCACTTAATAAAACTCCACTTTTACGCAACTAGTGGGGGGCTAGGTAAATTAAAATACTTCTAAACTCGTTTAAGCTCTAAAAACCTAACCAATCAGCTACAATCCTCAAGTAAGGTTTATAACTTAACTGAAATGTTGATGGAGCTTTAAGAGTTTTTAAAAGGTTAGAACTTCCTTAGCCACCCCCTAGTTACGCTAATGAAATTAGGTGTATTTATTTTATAAAATATAACAGTCACTCAAAAATCTACACAACTTCATATTAATATTTACTTAATACACGTCTGATTTTATTTCCTAAAGATCTTCCAGTAACTCTTCTCTGTTCTGCAAGGGTTGTCAAATTCAAGCCTCCCAAATCTATGGACATATTTATTAAATAAGTATGTTGAGAAGAAATAATAAAAAATAAAAAATATTTTAGTTGCTCGTGATACATAATTGTCTTTCATTTCAAAGAATTGTGATGAAACTACATTTTTTGTACAACCAGCCACTAGTGTTGAAACTCAAGAAATGGCTTGTTTCTATACTTTAAATTTCAAAGAACTTATTACACATTAACATCGATGTTAACTTTAGGTTCATAAAAAGCAAAAATATTCAGGCGGTACACCTTTCTAAATTGGACACCACAAATGTGGCACCCGACATTAAAAAAGAAGACAAAACTATGCCCGTGGCTTAAAAAATTTCCAGTATGTTATTTGTAAATATTTATTTGTTTATACATAACACCCCCTCCTATTTTTTTAAATGATACATACAAATTTTGTATTAATTACCTCGGGCTTCACCAGCTTCAGGAATAGCAATTTATAAAACAAATACAACAAATATTAAATTATTTTGCAGTTAATAAAACCCGGTTTATACGTTCTATATTAATTTATATATAACAGTCTCTCTTAATCTGAGATATATTAGACCGGATAATAATATGCAAAATATTATTGTATAATGGGTTTATATTATACTTCGAATGATCATCAAAAGCTTAAAACATTTGTAAACCGAAAATAAAAAAGGGACTTCATACCGCAAAAATAAAATTTTGAGTTATTGGTTATTACCAATTCTGAAAAATTTGAGACCAAAATCGTTCTTGTATATTGAAAATTGGCTAAGTTATATCTCTTTTAATTTATTTTGAAAAATTAATTTTTTTTGAGAAAAATACGCATTAAAGTTTTAAAATGTTACCAACATTTTATTTTACATACTTAATGAATGAAATTTAACCAAAAATTAAAATAAAGTGTTCTTAGGTCCACTTTAGAACTTTAAATGACTATAATTATTATCAATTTTGTAAATTTTATATTTACTTAATAAATCTCTTATTTCTAGTTGCATCATAAACTGGCTATACATGGATCCTAAAATTAATAACAAAATATATTTTAATGTACCTACAGATTTTTATGATTAAAATCAATATGTCATATTATTGTTTGTCAATAGGAGCTTACTAGTTACTACTAATTATAAAAAAAAAATATATGCTTGATGTTCGTATTGTACAGTCATGCTATTTATATTACAAGAAACTATATGTTAGTAGTCGTCACTTATTTAGATAACTATTAAAAATAAAAATTAGTTGTATCATTGTTATATTGAAGTGAATTATTACTATTAAATACCTAATATAAAATAATAAAAATATATTTTGTTTAAATATATTAAAGGTTCAAAATTCATACAACTTCATGTTAATATTTACCTAATAAACGTCTGAATATATTTTTTAAAGCTGGTTTGACAAGACATCTTCTCTGTTCTGCAAGGGTTGTTAAATTCAAGTCTCCAACTAAGTTGAGAAGAAATAATAAAAAATATTTTAGATGTTCATGATACATAATTGCATTACATTTCAACGAATTGTGATATAACTATTTGTTATGCAACCAGTCTTTAGTGTTGAAACTCAATAAATTTATTATTTCCATACTTGAAACCCCAAAGAACATATTATACATTAACATTGATATCAACTTAAGGGCGATGAGGAGCAAAAATATTTTTTAAAAAATATTCAAAAAAAAAAATAAGAAATATCTACACCCATGGCGTATTACATTTCCTAGTTTTTGATTGTGAATATATTATTTATATGTTAAGTTATATATATTTGTTTTTCATTGCAGTGTTAAAAATGAATTTATAAGCATAGGGTTCAATAACGTTAAAAAATAACCGTAAATGGTCACCAAGTCCCAGTAAATGGTCTCTCTTTCCTCAACAAACAATTAATTTTATTAAAACTAATGTATGGCATAAAACCTTGAATAAATAAAATGAAGAAAATGTTAACTCTTAAACAAGCTTTAAAGGCTATTTACGACTATAGAAAAATTTGTAATTACTTTGGCTTTCATCAAGTTTTGGAATATCGATGTCTGTAACATATATGTATAACAAACATCAAACCATTATGCAGTTATTAAAACCCGGGTTACCATTTTATTTATAACAGCCACTCTAAATCTGATATAAATTACACCATCAACATTTGAATAAACTATTTACATTATATTTTTAATCATTCTATTATTAAAAGCCTTAGCATAAAATATACATAGCTTTTTGTCTTTAAGCTTTTAATAATATGTTTATAGTTTTTCTCGAGAACTAAAAATAAGTATAATTATAAATTTTTGTAAATTTTATATTTACTTAATGTATTTTTTATTTCTAGTTGCATCATATACTGGTAATGCACGCATTCTAAAATATAAAACAAAATATATTTTAATCTACCTTCATAAATGATGCGTTTGTATATTAAACATGAAATATAAAAATATGGTTACTGAAGTTGTTGTGAAGGTGTTCAAAATCTGAAATCGGAACAAAAATCTAGTTTGCATAAAGAATATCAAACAACTGCACGGAGACACTTCCATAATGTGTAATGAAAATTATTACCCGTTATATTGATGGCAATATCCGTTTGGTCTGAAATTAACATTACATAACTTAATGCTATTGACACTATTTACATGTTTTTTGGTTACTTTCACTTGGACAGATTGACTTGTCAGTTGTCTGCCAACGTTTGGAACACTTGCACGATGAACTACCTAAGCTACTTAGGTAAAACAAAAAGATCTATTGGAGTACGCGCTAGAGAACATGAAAAAAATGTGGACTACAAGAGAACTAAGAAGTTGGCCATAGTAGAACACTTAGGTCAAGATGGCCACAGCGTAAACTTTGATGAAATTAACGTCTTTTTCCAGAGAATCTCATTACTGAAACCGTATGGTGAGAGCAACAATAGCAATTTAAAAATGAACATCAAACTTCAACCGGGAAGATGGATGGAAATTAAGCAAAACCTGGAAACCAGTGATACAACAGTTAAAAAGAGGACCAAAGGAAACCGGAGACCAAATGTAACGAAAATAGCCGGAAATACAACAAGAGGAGGCAGAGATTGCACCGGATGTGCTCACTCAGTCTACAGACAAACACAGTATGAGCAACATCGAACAACCGCTCTGAAGCTGGAACGTGCAATTGTTCCAAAACGTTGCTAGACGAGTCAATATGTCCAATTAGGAGTAAGCGAAAAACATGTAAATACAATATGATGGAAATCATTGAAAACTTCAATAGGAATGAAATATTGGAAATATATTCATAAAAGTCAACGAATACTATTACCCGGTACAGCGATCATAAAATTAATTTTGGCTGAAATTCACATTACATAAATTAACAATAATGGATTTTAATTGCTTTTTTTTTTTTTTATTTGAAGAATATTTACAATCTATGCTTGCTTTGAGCATAATAAGCAAATAGTAACTACATATATACAAAATAAAACGGTGATATGATATGAGGAGGGAGGCCATCCAGCGATAGAACCCAACAATTTATTATTTTAATAATTATAAGTACCGAAATTCACGTAATAATCTTCAATTTGAAATGATGAAGTATCATTAACCATTTTTTCAATTACATGCTCCAATCCATCTAGAATAAACAGTTATAAATTTGGGTTGTACTAAAATATTAAAATAAAATTAATTTAAGTGCCATACAAATCTTTAGAATTATATTAAACTATATATTTTTTTTCTTTAATATTTTGAACATCTATAGAAATATGCACAACAGTAAATTAGTAAACACTAAAAAAAAATCATATACCTAACTTGAATATAACATGAAGTAGGGGGGGCACCCAATGGAGTTACCTATTACTATACTTAATAGCAGTTATTTAACTTAATGTAACGCTTTTGATTAGGTTATTAAAAGTCGCTACTTTAATTATAATGTTCTGTACACTGGTTCTACATGGCTAGTGCACTTTATTAATCTATTAAAAAAAATTTTAAGTTTTAATTTACAAAGAACGTGACAACTAGGTACACATAACAAAACACTTATATATTGGCACATCAATTTTAAATATAATATCTTACTTAATCCAGAATTATCTCCTACAGTAAAATCATTCTTATTATACGCAAGCTCGATGGCTACATCTGTGATACATAATATAAAAAATATGTGTAAAACAGTGAATTCAATAACTTTGAAATCCATTTTTTATAAATAAAAAATATTACTGACTTGTAAGAAAAACTTCCTTCTTATAATTCACTATAAAAATTTTTTTTTTTCAAATTTATAACTACCTTCAGTTGATAATAGTGAAAATAAAATATTTACTTTCGTCATATGCCGAAACATTAAACAGGACTAATGTGATTAAAAAAAGGAAAATTTTCATTTTTTTTTCTGCAAATATATAGACAAAATTAAATTTATATTAGTTGACTCTGGTGCAAAAATGAGAAAGTTTTGGTTTTGTCATAAGTTTTTTTTATATGATGAATGTATATATGACACCCTGTATATATGCCATATATACAGGGTGATCTAACTAACGTAAGACACTCATTTTCTCTGAAAAAATGAATATTTTGAGATTTTTTTCTCCATAACTCTTAGGTACATATTTTACTACATTTTTTTATAGTTTGAAAATTTGTATCACCAATCCTTACCAGCCAAAAAGGGTGGATTTTTGGTTTTTTTAAATGGCATCATATGTTTTCAATACCATAAATGTGTAGACAAAAAATTTAATTTGATAAAAATTCTAATTTTTTATTTTCATTTATCTGTTTATTATGACTTTGTAAAGATACTACATTTCTTCTTATTAATAATCACATTTCTTCGGTTTTCCAAAACCGGTAACACATAAAATTCATATTTATGTTCCCGTTGTCTAACTGGCGATAACATTCTAACAGCTTGGAAGTCACTATGATAGATTTTGAAATAATGGTAGACCAACGGTTCTTATCTACATGTTACTTAGATTAGAGGTTGTTTATTATATCTGATTATGATACAGAATACGGTAACTCGTCAAATTATTTTTATGCATTGCAATAAAACTACTTGTCTTTGTAGTAACGAATGAAAATATTAAGAAATACAGTCAAAAAATCAAATATTTATAAAATCATAACAAATGAACAAATAAATGGAAATTTAAAATTCAAACTCTAACATATTTTTTAATTGTATGTCTACAAATTTATGTAATTAAAAACATGTTGCCTTTTAAAATAAACAAAAATCCCCCTTTTTGGCTTATAAGGATTGGTAATAACTTTTCAAAATATTGAAAAATGTAGTAAATTATATACCTAAAAGTTTAGGAAAACATAAATTCTCAAAATATTCATATTTTCAGAGAAAATGAGTGTCTTGCGTTATTTGGATCATCCTGTAAAAATTTATTAGAGTTTAATAAGAAATACATTTTGTTTTCATAACGTTTTTGTACAATGTATTGTTTTTAGTTAAGAGCAGGAGGAAGGTGTAGTGTGTTATTATTCTTATATACGTGTATTACTCTACCACACTGCAATTCTTGTTTGGGACGTTTTGAATATTAGTAAAATAATATAAACTAAAGTGTCGCTATGAGATATGGTTCAAGATAAAATGATTACCCTGTATTTCCTAGACTGCTAAACTGATTTTTTTTATACAGAACGATTTTTTTATCATCAGCCACTTAATATCTTATAGGGTTTAATACGAAATTAAAATCGTTTTTTCATATTGTTTTTATACAATATTATTTCAATTTTTCACAATTTTTTTTGTTTTTACCCCCCTCCTAACTTAGTTTTTTTTATAGTAACTTTTAAAAATTAAATGGTAACGTATATATTTTATTAACTTTTTAATTGAGAATAATATACTAAAAATGTTGACTGGTCGTTAACTAGTTTAAGCTAACTGTTTTAAAAGTTTTAAAGTTAGGATGGGAGGGGAAGTGCGGGAGATGCACGCAGATAAAAATAATACTACACTCCACCTTTCCTCCTGCCCTAAACTTGAAACTTCAATAACTTCAAAAGTTAATAAAATATATACGTTACCATAAAGTTTCAAAAGTTGCTATCAAAAAAACTAAAATGGGAGGGAGGTAAAAACACAAAAATTGTAAAAAATTGAGATTACATTGTATAAAAAGTACAAGTAAAACTATTTAACTAAATACAATTATTCAAATAATACAATAACTATATACAATTATTCTAAACTTGACTACAAATAATGTTTGTTAATCAACCTAATGATAGATTCAAAGCCAAATTATTTATGATTTTATTGTGGAAAGAGGAACATTTTAGAAGGAATATCATATTCGATTAACTAATATTAAGCAAAATTATTTAGATTTTCTATCTTAACCTAAAAATGTTCAATAACACAATTAATACCAAAAGCAATTTTGTAGAACACTATATTTAGCATAATATACGTGTAGAACTTTATTTTTTTTAATTTTTTGTAATCGCCAAAAAAATAAATTCTAAAAAAAAAACATACAAAAACAAGTATACACTAAGACAACACTTTTGCAAGAAGTTATGAAAACAATTTTAAAAAAATTGTCTTTTTTCACTATACCCTACAGTATACATAAAAGCAAATAATTAATAAATTCAAAATCTATTATAGAATTCTCCTCAAAATGGGGATTGTGTAAAACGAAATATTGGTGTCTATTATAGTCAAACGATTTAAGAAAACTGCTGAAAAAAGCTGTTAAGATCCGATTAAAAAATAACTAGCAATAAAAAATTCTTATTGCTGTCTTTCTCACACTATAACTTTTGGCTTATAAAGTTCATGCTTGTTAAGTTCTGACGTAATTACAATTTTTAGAGTTTAATAAAAATACTTACTAAAACTATTGAGCTGATAGAATTTCTTAGATAATAACCGATTTGATCAGCTTTTTAAACTAAATGTTCTTCTTGCGATTAGATTTCGACCGAAAAATTAGAATTTTATAGGTTTTTGCAGCGTAACTATATTTATTTACATATGTTAATTACATTGCTGTTTTTTTTATATGATTTCTGGTACACATTCATTACTTTGACGCGTTGTTTAGACTACGTTATTCTTAGTTAAAAGGTTTACAAACCCATACATCTAATGTTTACATTAAAGAATTACAATTGAAATTTGATTTAAATTTTGACCATAAAAATGCACATATTTTTCAACTTAAAATTAGGCCGCTCTCTTTTAAACATAATCAAAATAGTTCCATACAGAGATGGGCAAAATGAACGACAACCCATAACTGATTACAGAGGGATTATGGATTATTCGTTAAGCCTAAAACACTCTCATAATTGTGAACTTTGTAAAAGTTATTTATTCTTATACATTTTTTTTTTAATTGTAACAGAATATTGGCCCAGTATGCATACCGGAAAGTACTGTAATAAGAAAACATAATTTTCCTAGAAAAAGGGACTACTATGGGTTGGTTTATATACCAAAGTACAAGTTTGATTAAAAAACCTAGTTCATTTCTCCGCACCGCGGAAAAACATTGAATCATGGGTATGTTTTAGCATTACGGGTCCGTATAATCATAACGATTTTTAGTATCTAAGGTGGCTAGTATATTAAAACATATCAAGTTTCTGGCTAATATTTTAGTGTTTAATATCTGGCTTAAAACAATTCATAAAAATATAACCTCTTAAATTATTGAATTCATTTTAGTTCAGTTCTAGTTTACACGTGAATACAACACATATGCCCCAAACCTCACCCCCCCCCACCCATCCCCAACCCATCCCCAACCCCATTTTATTTATAGTATTTTACTGTTATCCCCTACCCCCTATCTCAATTACCATCCCCAACCCCCAAACCCATTCCCACCCCTTATGTCTTACCCTCTATCCCCTACTCCTATCTCAATTGCCATCCCCAACCCCCAACCCCATCCCCAAGCTTATATAAGCGGCTCACCACCAGACAGTCAACAGGCATTCCGAATGGTCATAGGTTCTCAAATGATAAAAAGTATTACCACTTGGGTTTTGACGGTCCCGCTCTACCCCACCCATCGTGGCCTTTTTTTTAATAGGTTATAAGTTATAACCAAGTGTACCAATTGACGAAAAATACTATGTGTAATATATAAATATCGAATGTATTTATCATAAGTATTTTATAAAACTGCATGCACAGTATAATACAATTACACTTATATATGTTCTATAAAATATCACATTTATTTAACAAAATTGAGTCATGTACACTGGATAGAAACCCCTAAGGAATACACCAATGAAAACACACTACATACCCCCTCCACAGTTCGACCCGACAACTGTTTCTTTAGTTCAGTCTTCGTGTATCATTATATTTCTCTATAACTGCCTAGTTGATAAAATGGAGCGCTGCCCGAATGATCTTGTAATCATTTCTTTTCCACAGTTAAAGTAAATTATTCCTTATGTGATTTCTGTCTAGTGCTTATGCAAGTTTATTTATCACCAACAATTTAAGAGTTATTTTTTTTTTTTCCCTAGTCTTCTATTTTTCTTATTTCTATAATCGCAATCTAGTAATATACAACTATAATTCGACCGTAGGTATTTTGGAAGTATTGACAGCCTTGTGGTGTCAAACAGGAAGATTTTGCAGCCTTGCACCATTACCATTTGGAAGTTGACCACAACCTTGTACCTAGATTGATTATTGTTTGCCGATTACACAAAAAGCGGGTTAGCTTAGTCTATTAAAGTGTCCACGGTCAACGAACTAGTGTGCAGTTCGGTTGAACGTGGAGATTGCGACCTCGGCCGTATCTGGGCGAATCTATACAGCCACTAGATTTAAGGAACCTTAAACGGTAATCAAGACGGTATAGTCTTGACCTCTATGGACTTCGAGGGCCGTTAAGAAACAGCAAACAAAAAATATTAATCTAATGAACTGATCGATATGATCACGGTTAAGTTAGGTCAATTTGCATAATAACAGACAAATCATATTGGTAAAAATATCGTTACTTTTAAATTATGATAAGTGTAGAGTCGTATAGAATTAGGAGAAATTAGGATGAATTAATAATATATTCATATATGTCGCATAACGAACATTATATTTCTACCTTTCTATTTTTCCATCATCCTTTTATTTTTCCTTATATGTATTATTAAACATAGGATAGCTTAGGAACCTATGACCATTTACCCAATTTATCCAGTCAACACAGTCTCACATAAACTCCAGTCTACTACAGTACTACAGTCTCATATTTTATTGTATTCAGTGATATATTTTGTGTTGTGAGATATTATTGTAATAATTGTACATTTGGTTTACTTATTTATTATTATTATCGAAGAGTTTTTTTGTAAGTGATTCAAAAAATATTTCTGTCGTAATAGTTTATGTAAATCTGTAAGTTTATTCCATCCAAATATGCCCTGACCTTAAATTTGTTTTTATTAAACAAATCAAAATTGACTACAACATAATAAATATTATATTTATACTAAATGTTATTCTATAAAAAATAACCGAAAATGTGTTTTTTTGAACGTGTATTTAAATTATAATAGCCAATTAATTATGACAAAATGAAATTTCACAGTTGTACAGATTTAGTTATTTTATGAAATGTATTTTACAATTTGAATATCTTATTAAACGAATAACTGTTGTGGGTTTTGTTGACGAATGAGATGTTAAGAATTCTGTGTCGGTTGGATTTCCAATTATGCTGGACACATATTTCGCTTTACAGTATGACACATTTTTTTTTTTGGAATAAGTCGGGATACCTAACCGTATTGGTAACCGTAAAGAATATTATTTTTTTATCCCTTTATTTGTATACCCTTTATTAGCAATAAAAAGATAAGGATAAGAAATACTGTTTTTTGAAACTCGTGGGCTGTTTGTTTTTTTTTAATGATTGAACTATTTTCTTACACGGTAATGCTGTTTCTTTTATACTTACATTTATTACATTTTAGCGAAAACCTATTTAATACATTCGTATTTAACTAACTTCGTTGAAGTGTTTAGAACTAATTTATTATGTTATTCTACCCCTTAAGACCTGTAGCTACTTTAAATTAGTATTTAATGCATTACTATAGGGAAATATACAATATACTATACAACAAGCAATTTAGGTTTTAGTTAAAATGTACGTGTTACAACACATGTACATAAACCATAACTTTGCACAACAACTATCGCATTGCAAACAAACGAAAAACACCAGTTGAATACACGAACTTTTAAACTATAAGTTATGAAATTCTAAGAACAGTCATATTAAAAAAACAATATTTTATAAGTTTACGAAATCGTCGTGGCTGTTACCTGCAAAATAAACAAATAATTGTTTTTTTCCGATGTTTTTAGGTCAGTTGGGCAACTTTTACTCTACAAGCAAGAATTCTGGGGAATTCAGTAGTGCGGTGGTTTCCCGTTGCCTTCCGCATCAGTCAGGTCTCCAGACAGTTGCATAAACAGATAATACATCTGCAGTAGGAGCGAGGAAAAATAGTATTATTATTATTATTATTATACAATAATGAAACTAAGCAATATATCTAGGCCAAATGGCAAACGGTTAAAATGTTTATACAGCGAAAATGGTATTTTTCTTTATTATTAAAATTAAAAATTAAAAAACGGACGTGGATGGTAGGCAATTTTTAAATAAATAATTTTCCGTTTAAAAGTTGTAGATTACTTAGCCAAATTCTATCTTATAATTATAAAAATATATATACATTTAAACATAAAACAAATTAAAATAATGGTTTTACTAATAATTTAACCAAGTTTTAATAATATCGTAATAATACTAATATCTATTCAAACGATTAGATATATTTCTTATATATTATTAACTAAATTTTAACCTAACCTATCCTACCGTTTCACTAGTAAAAACTATATCAATACCAATTATTGTTAACTAACCTGATCCATTATTGTTGAAGTAGATGGTAGTTTGTTCGAAAGCTTGTCTGTAGTCTGGTGAATTTGTTGATGTTGTTGGAATATTTTCATACGCTCGTATACATATCTCATCGCCTTCGCTATCGAAGAGACTTTCGTATGATGTGTCTCTTGGGCCTAAAAAAAAAAATTACTTAATAATAGTTAATAGTTAACAGAAAAAAAATGATTGTGATTTGAACTAAAAGTATAAATATTACTATTATTTAAAAAAAAAAAAACCACAATTAAATTCTAGTTGTTATTAAATTAGGAAATTTAAATGTGAGTAGATTTAAAAACTGTTCCGCGTGTTAAACATATCATTTGAATAATAATAAAAATATTGCATATATACTCGATTAAATATTTTATATAATAACCTAATGTCTGGATGTTAGCTGTATGTTGTATAACCCTAGCACGCTGTTGTAGACGTTCTTTCCCTCCATCTCGACCAGCTCCGGTTATGTAAAAATATAAAATTATTAATTTAAATCATAACATTTTTTTTAAATTAAAAAAAAAAAATGTATATTATTTTAAATATTTTTTTTTCCCGTGCTTCCTTTCACAATGTCAAGTGAGATTGCTTTTAATTTCACAATCATAATCACATTCACCGCAAAAAAATCGAACACCATCATGGGTTTTAAGATGTCGGTTTAAATTCTGTACTAAAGAGTACACCTTTTTACAAATATTACATTGATAAATGATTAAAAATTTAATATGATCAATATAATATTAATAATAGAAAAATAATTGGTTAATAATTTTATATTATGTTAAATGCGTAAAAACGTGTTAATTGCGTTATATAGGTTGGTATGCAATATTTTATAAAAGCGTTTGTATATCGTATGCGTTAGTATGTTATTTATACAAAAGCGTAAATATATTTAAAAATAGTAATAATAATAATATTAATGTGATAATTTGATTAAAAGAAAAAACACAAAACCGATATTATAAAATTAAACACTGAAAAAAATGTATCATGTTAACGGAGCGAAAACTAAGTTAGCA